ATTTTATATATAATGTCTTTTCAGAGTTTTAAACTTCACGTAAACTAAAAATCTTGCACCACTCATTTGATGATATTTACTGAAATGTCTTTCTAATGGATCAGTTTGAAACATGCTAATTAAAACATACTTATATCCTTTTGAAAATAAATCTGCAGTAACTGGTCAGTCAGTGTTGTAATTAATGCATTAATTGTTTAAACAGACAGTTTTTCACTTCATTTTTTGAATCAATGTTGCAAAATCTTGAAAAAACTGTGTTTTTATATCACCTGGAATAGTTGCATTACTAATCCTAATTATTTGTGTTAAACTTTACCTTTGAATTAGAAATAATCCACCAAATATGAATGAGCTTTAGAAATCTAGCAGCTGCAGTTTTATAACTTATGCAGAATATAACTGATGATTGCAGCAGAGGTGGTTTCGTCGAAAATATATAAAGCTAAAGGAACACTTTGTTGTTTCCAGGATGTAAAATTTGGGCAATTTTGAAAGCTTTTTTTAAAGCTTTTTTTAATTTGAAAGCTTTTTTTAAGTTAGCAGATAACAATTCATCTTTCTCATAGACATTTTACAATAAATTTCAATAAATTTCAATAAATTTCAAGAAATTTCAATAAATTTCAAGAAATTTCTTCAGCCTCAACATGAATATCATCAAACTGGATGAGATCAAAATGGTGGAAATACAAACCATTTTGAATTTAATAAATTGTTCCTATTTTTTAGTAAATTAAAAGTCATATAAATTGTAAACCAGGGTATCACATTTTTGGAAGTCATCTGTTTCATCTAGCAAAGGATGGTTATATATACGAACTGCAGGGGGCTTATGTAAAGCTGAGCTTGATTGAATTAGAAATGGCTTTGATAAGATGTTTTGGTTGGTATTAATTGTTGGTAAAGGATTATGTGAATAGTTTAATGTTATACACTTACCACTTTTCAAATATTCATCTTCAAAATAATCAATACATATTGCTAAATTATCTGTGAAGCTCTAATCAGCTCAGTTGATAAATTTAATCCAATAATTTCAAAGTTCTATATGTTTGTTATCAGGAAAACTTAAGACAGTTTTGTATGGCACATGATGGCTGTTACTGGAGTATTCTTCAATCTTTCGCTTATAATTACTCCTACAACCAACAACACAACACTTTTTTGGCATTACAAAATAAAATATTACTATAATATTTAAAAAACGTATGGAATTTAAACCATGTGAATATTGTTAAATTGATTTATTTGTAAACTTGAAACCCATATTTTTTCAGCCCATTAATCTTTTGCCTTCAAGGCATCAAATCTGGCTGTTTTATATAGTAGGCCATGATACAACTCAAATTAAAAAACTTCTTAAAAATTTACATCTATTGTTCTCATCTATTTATTAGGCTTAACAAACAATAAATTAAAAATAAATAGATTTGAGAAGTTTGATCAATTTAACAAAATTTTCATTATTACACTTAAAAATACATTTAGCATTAATACATTTTTTGAGTAATGCTTCACTAAGCTTAATAGTGAAATGTTAACACAGCCCCAGGCTGTAGCACTTTTTTAACTATAGTAAGTATGATATAGATTATAAATATAATATTATGAATTTGATTATATTATATATATTTTTTGTTCTATTTTAACAAATGTTTTATATTTGACATTATTTAAAATAAAAAGATACAATAGTGATCAAAAATTCAGAAAACTTACAGTTTCTTAGTGATTTGTGATTTAAAAAAATGCCTTTGTTTTTATTACTTTTATTTTATTTTTAATACGGTTTATTTATGAAATTCTCTTTAATATATATAAAAGGCAAGAAAAAAAACAACAAGTTTAAAGTATTTTATTTTGAAAATAACAAAATTATGTAAAAAGATATCTACAAAAATCTTGATCATAAGTTAAGTTAATATGATATGTTATCGCCTTTTTTATCAATGCAAAGTCTACATCTTCATTTAATAGATTCAAAAAGATTTTGACATTATTCAAAGGACAAACCATCATTAGCTCTTTTAAACTTTTTCTTAGTTTTTCAGCTGAAATTACAGGAGTTTTGGTCAGTTTTCGGTCTAACACATTTCATACATTTTTGATTGGATTTTAATCTGGCGATCTTGCTGGTCACAGGAGTACAATGATTTTGTTTTCTTTAAACCAATCTGTTACTGTTTTTGCTTTGTGACAAGGGGCATTATCTTGCTAAAACTTCCATTTCGGCTAATCTCCAAAAAATGGTCTCTTGTTGGAATCAAATGATTTTCAAGCATCTTAATGTATCTGTATTGGTCCATTCTACCAGTGTACAAGTAGCATAGTTCAAGTCCATCATATGCGATACAACCCCAGATCCCAACTGAACCTCCTCCACCCTGTAACGGATTATAAAACTTCTCACTATGGTGTCTTCGAACTGTTACTCTATTTTTTCTATTAACGACTGTATAATTTAATTCATTGCTAAATACTATTTTTTTTATATCATCACTTATCTTGAGATTTTTTTTTCAAAATTGTAGCTATTTGAACCAATCTGATTGTTTAAGCAGCAGTTTTTAAGCAGCAGTATATGAGCATAGTTTACGATCAATTAATCTTCTATTTACTGTCTGTCTTGGGATGTCATTTTTGAGAGCTAGATTTATTTCTTGAGCAATTTGTTTGGCACTATACTTAGGATTTTTTCTAGCAATTCTGTATATACTATTATCACCAGTGGTAGTGGTTTTTCTGGGTCTTCCGGATCTGATTTTATCTAATGTGCTACCTGTTTTTTTCCACTTAGCTATTGTTCTAGTGACACATGACTGCGATAGATTCTTGAGAATCAACTGAGTTTTTCTTGTAGAATTAGCAAGGTGCAAGGTAATAGTTCTTTCTTTGATTTCTTTTGAAACTGATGTTTTACCCATTTTGTAAATATTTTAAATGTAAATAGTAAGTAAAAATTGTATATTTTAATTTGTGTGCACTAAGTAAGTAAATAATGTAATTTTTAAATGGATTTAAATGTAGTATTTTAGAGAATATATTTTATTCCATGTTAAAATTACAATCTTTAAAAAAATAGACTAGGCACTTAAATGGAAATAAAGGAAAAAGTGAGTCTAAATTTATCAGACACATTTTAATGTATTTTTAAATGACGCTACTATTAAAAAGTAAAACAAAAACCCTTGTATATGAGATTTAAGGTGTGTGTTTTTTTTTAAAATAATGATAGTAAATTAAAAAATTGTCAAACATCATCTAAAAAAAAAAACTTTTTTTTTTTTTTTTTTTTTTGGGGGGGGGGGCGGGGATTTTAAGAGCTAAGCTAAAGAAAATTTTTGATCACCATTGTATTTACTTTCCACAAAATAAATAATGAATATATTTTGTATTTTCAACTGATAATATTTAATTTGTGCTTATAACAAAAAACTAACCATCACTCAAAAGCTCATTTACAGCTATATCCTTATCATTTGCCATTGCATCATTTAGAGCCTCTCCATTGATATCTTCAACATTATATTTTCTAAACAACTTAATAAACTCTTTTTTTTCATTTCTACATACATACTGTAAAGGAGTACAAAAATCATTTCCATCCTCAAACCGTTTGTTTACATCAGCACCATCTTTAATTAACATCTCTGCACATTTTAAACTATTTCGGTTGTCTACAACAAGTGAATAATGAAACGCTGTTTTTGTATCGCATACTTTATCAATAACCAAACAACCCGGAAATTTTTCCTCCTCTCTAAAATATATTAAAATATTCTAAATATAACTGTGAGAGTTTTTTATTTTAAATTCAACCATGACTATTGCAAGCCATCATATGAACATTATTTGTTCTTGATTATCCACAATCAATTGTTTACTTTATGAAATTAATCATGTTAAATTAAATAATGGTCAATTAAAAAAGTAAATAACACAAAAAACTAACGACTCTTTTTTGAAAGGTTTGCAGTTTAAAAACATTTGAATAATGTTCAAATTTCCAAACATCACGGCCATGTGTAAGCATGTCAATCCATTTCCTGTTGGTTTGTTAATGTCTACGTAATAATTTTCAGAACCTAAGAAACAATAAATCATTATCAATAACTTTAAAATAATTAAATTCAAAAACTATTTTGTTGATTAAAAAAAAATAGTAAAAAAACTTGTAGATTAAACTAAGTTAAAAATAAAACTTACCACTTTTATTAAAGGAATTTCTAGAACTAAAATCATTAGATACATCTGAATCTGGTTGCTTACGCAAACTTAATAAATATTCTACAATATGTTCTTGCTCTTTCATTACACAAGCATGTAGAGGATATGTTAGATCACAAATAAGTGGAATTAACAAAAGGTTAGGAAAAGTCTTTGAAAGTAGAACAGCAACATCATAATGACCATGATAGCATGCAGCATAGAGAGGTGTTAGCCCACTTTCAGCATTTGGTCGACCATCAGCTTGGTAGTCTATTAGAAGTTGAACAATATCTTTATATCCATAAAAACTTGCCCTAAAAAAAATGATTTTATAAAATTAAAAGTATTTTAATATTTTTAATTTTTATAACTTTAAATAATGTTGAGAACATTATTTAAAGCATAAAAAAAAAAGTTTTAAAGTTTCAATTTAACATTTATAATTTTTGTATTAAAATTATACTTTTTAAATTGGATGCTCTAAATGATGCTTAAAGCAAAATTGTTCAATTTCAGTTTTAATTTAATTTTATAAGGAAAACTCTATGTTTGTGTTGTTTGTTATTGTTATTTTTAATGAGCTTTTTTTTTTATCACTAAACTATTGCACTTTTTTTGTCATTAATATACATTGGGGTGATAAGGGTGGTACAGTAAGGTGGTACAGTAGGGTGGTACTCTACGTTTGTGTTGTTTGTTATTGTTATTTTTAACTTCTTAACAATTAATGACGTATATATACGCAAGGTAAAACTTTCAAAAAACGGCATTGACGTGTATATACCTAAATATATGTGTGACACTTACAATACCAAACCATCAGCAGTAAAACCAGTCTTATATTCTAGAACATTCTTCTACAGAAATTTTAAGATGGCAATTTTTCTAAAAGTGTAACTGATTTAATTTGTATTATAGTAAACTTTAAAGTTGTAAAAATATAGGTAGTGATGCAAAATTGAACTTAACAGAAGATTTTGTTAATATAATGCTTGAAAGTGACAATGAAATTTCAGATTTTAGTGATAGCGACCTTGACTATGTTGTAGGATGGCACAGACATATTCACTGAAAAAGACAGCAATGTTATGAACAAGTCAATTGCTAAAATCATTGAAATAATTGTTACCCAGACTGTTTCTATTGTTGTTCTAACTAGTAAAGGAAAGCAAATGGCTGCAATAAAAGTAAAAGTTATTGTTGGACAAACAGTAAACCTGTATCAAATATGTGCAGGCAAATCTTACATTGTGATTCATGTATTCATGAGTCTGTAACACCAGATGACCAGTTGGAGATTTTTGAACTCTTATTCACAAGTGAACTTGTAGATATGACAGTAAACATGACAAATAAATATTCAATATAATAATAAATAATATTCAATATAATAATAAAGTAATATAGGTTAAGTGCATTCAAAGTCTATTCATATCTGAAGACAATTAATAACATTCAAATGTTAATATACAGTATATTATTTAACTTAGTGCAAAAAAAAAAAGTGATGTTTGATTATGGTTTTACCTTGCTTTGAGAATTATCATAATGTATTAAAATATTACTTTTAAATTGTAGTAAGGTCTATTTAGTTTATTGTGGATTTAATTATAATCTTTATATAATTTCTGCCTCTTTTTGTTCATTTTATATATAATATATAAATACTTGTATTTTTTAAAAATTAACCTGATAAAAAATGTCATTTTTAATTGAGATAAACCAGTTAAAATGTCATGTTTTATTGAGACAAACCAGTTAAAATTTTTGACTAAGTAGAGTAGCAAATTGAAAGTACAGAAAAGTATGGAGTCATCAAGTGTAGTACAGAAAAGTAGGGAGTCATCAAGTGTAGTACAGAAAAGTAGGGAGTCATCAAGTGTAGTACAGATAAGTAGGGTGTCATCAAGTGTAGTACAGAAAAGTAGGGAGTCATCAAGTGTACTACAGATAAGTAGGGTGTCATCAAGTGTAGTACAGAAAAGTAGGGAGTCATCAAGTGTAATACAGATAAGTGGGTGTCATCAAGTGTAGTACAGAAAAGTAGGGAGTCATCAAGTGTAGTACAGATAAGTAGGGTGTCATCAAGTGTAGTACAGAAAAGTAGGGAGTCATCAAGTGTAGTACAGATAAGTAGGGTGTCATCAAGTGTAGTACAGAAAAGTAGGGAGTCATCAAGTGTAGTACAGATAAGTAGGGTGTCATCAAGTGTAGTACAGAAAAGTAGGGAGTCATCAAGCGTAGTACAAATAAGTAGGGTGTCATCAAGTGTAGTACAGAAAAGTAGGATGTCATTGAGTAAAGTAGGATCTAGTAAAGTAGAGTACCATTGAGTAAGATAGAATGTAATTAAGTAGAGTAGGGTGCAGTAGAGTAAGGTAAGGTGTGGTAGAGAGATTTATTTAAAATCTTTTTAGGAAATTAGTGTAAAATCTTCATTTTGTAATGCATATAACTTTTCAGAACTTATTTCTTGCAGTGGTGAATTTGTGGCATTAATGTATGGCAGAACAACTTGTAAGAAAGAGTTACAGAGTTCAAACCCCACAAAGTCCATTCACTCAACTTCTTTTACTTGGTAGCAGCTATATTTGTTAGGGTTTGTGTTTTTTGAAGGTCAATAAAAAAGTATAAATGTATAAAAAATAATAGTAATAAATAACTGCCTTATTAAACAACCAATTCAAAATTTACATAATATCATACAAATTTTTAAAATTCATCTATTTTTGTCCGAGAAAAACTAATTAAACTATTAACAAATATTATTAGACAACCAAGAATACTTGGATTATTTGTCAAATAAAAAAAATATTATTGGTCACTAATATAGAATGGTTAAACAACATTTAATTAAAACATGCTGTTGCTTTTCTTTTATACTAATATTAGGTAAAATATACTAATATACTAAATATACTAAATTATACTAATATACTAAATTATACTAATATACTAAATTATACTAATATTAGGTAAAAATTTAAATATCTAAAAATTTTTTACCTAAATAACAGTGTATTATGTCCTCGAAAATAGTTATTTATAATAGAGCATGGATTCTTTAATGTCTCAAGAATATGCTTCGTATTTGAGAAATCTCCTGCAGAAACCAAGTCATAAAGGGCTGCAAAAATGAATAAAATATTAAATTAAATAAAGATTAAAAACAATGATAGTAAATTAAAAATTCATAAACTTAAAAACTATACATAATATAAGCACTTAAAATAATTTATCAAAGATTAACATTAAATCAGCTGAAATAAAAATATTAAAAAGTAGACAAGTTATTTTTTAGATGAACAGCCTATGTCTTCATTATTTTCATTGAACTTTCACCTAATTTTTATATTCATTGAATTTTCACCTAATTTCTGAGTTTTAAATGCACTTTATGCCTTACACTTTTTTGCATTTGTGCCTTACACATCTTTTAATATCAATTAAATTTTGTAAGAAAGACACAAAACTGTTGCAACATTTAACTAACTGTTTCTTTCAAATAAAAAAAAGTTAAGATTTTATTTGAGGAATAAATTGTGTAGTTTATTCCTTAAATAACTTTATTCCACCAAATAAAAACATTATTTGATGTAATTTAGACTATAAACTCATAACTTTTCATTTTTTAAATGTATTTACATTTATTATTATAAAATTTTGTCTTACTATTCTTGCTAATCAAATGTGATTGACCAAAATTGATTAAGAAAGATAAAAAATATTCTCATTATCAAAAGCAGTCAATAGCAATAACACATAGATACATACATACACACATACATACATACATACATACATATATACCAGGCCTTCTCGTTTGCACGCCTTATATGACCACGCATAAAGTTCTTTGTTTTAACAACTTGACCATGGCTCGTAGCAAGTTTTGATAATTGACGCGTTTAAAAATGCGATAAAAAAAACAAAGCAAATTAAGATTAAAATAAGCAATCCATAAACTAAAAAGAGAATAAAATCCTTAAAATAATATATAATACAAAAATTAACCTAAAAAAATAAAATATTAAATGAATAATAAAATAAATAAAGGAAAAACCAGAAAAAAAAATTAAAGCATTTATTAATTAATGTAAACTTAATTGTTAGCGAAAGTAAAAAAAAAAATTATTCACAGCTTTAATAATCTTTATCATTCCTTCCCTGAATAATTAGACTAATACAAGGGTGAAGGAAAGGGTCCCCCCTCCCCTCAGATTTTTTATTAATTTTTTTAGAAATTGATGTTTAAAAAAGTAAGTAACTTAGGTTGTTTAAAAGTGCCATGAAGTTTAATAAAGTTTTGTGGTGCAAGTTTAAAATTTTTTAAAAATATTAAAAGGATACAGGGTGTGACAAATCGATAAATTTGCGCGCATTTCTTAAAAGACAGACAGAAAAACAAACATCACGTTTCTTTAATTTTGCTTATGCAAAATTAAAGAAACGTGATGTTGCCATTTGATTAGGATTTTTAAAACGAACACATTTCTTCAGCAATTTTTTTCAAAATAATTTTGCGATCATGAGTTATTTATTTATTATAAAAAACACATTTAATATGAAAAACAATTAATTTCACAGACTTAAATTAATGCCAAAACGTATTTTTTTTAATGGCGTAAAATTACTAAATACACTATAGAAAAAAGTAATTATGTTTTAGCATGGTTTTTGCATGCACTCACAAATACATACATAATTTTACTTAAAATGAATGCTTTTGCAAAAACTTCAAAAGAAACCATGCTCAAACATTTCGATTGCTATCTTTTATTGAGAAAAGTGATTGTAGCGTTTAACGATGGTTTCTTTTATGTTTTTAGCAATTACATTAAAAGTTTAAAGCAAATGTTTTCATTATAAATAAAATTTAACAATAAATAAAAAAATTTTATTGTGCAAATAAATTTACCAAGCATCTTTGATATATTTTATAACTTATTAACTAGAATAAATATTATTTGCATTTTATTTGACAAAAATCTCTTAAATTAGACGTTCGTCAATAAATAAAGATACGCAAGTCAACGTTCATTAAAAAAAAAGGATATGTCACGCCCTGGGATAAAAAATAGTTGCCAGATGCGATTGTTTCAAGATTATTGTAATTCCTTTTTTTTTTTTAGTAAATAATTTCTTAATTAGAAATTATATTTCCATGATAAAATGGTTTGCAATTATTTTTTGATAGCTTCTGTACTCATTTTGCCTTAAACTCTAATGTAAATATTTTTTTCAATGATTGTCTTTAATTAAGTTGAATTAAAGTACTCAGGAAATTTTGTGGGAGTTTAATTGTAATTATGGAATCAATTAATTTAAAAATTGCTTTATTTATTTTTTAGCGCATTTTTTAAACGCGCTAATTATCAAAACTTGCAAAGAGCCGTGGTCAAGTTGTAAAAACAAAGAACTATATGGGTGGTCATATAAAGCGTGCAATCGCACGCCTCTTACAAGAAGGCCTGTATATACATACATACACACATACATACATACATACATACATACATACATACATACATACATACATACATACATACATACATACATACATACATACATACATACATACATACATACATACATACATACATGCATTCATGCAAACATGCATACTTACATACATACATATGTAAAACGCATAAATATGTAAGGTCTATATAACAATAGGTCTGCAAAACAAAACAAAAAATCTACAGTTCAGACGAATTCAGATTTTAAAAGATATATTATTGATAAACAAAATATTTTGTAAAAAAAAAAATTGCTGATAAAAACTATATTTTATCTTGATTATTAAAAATTTTTTACCTTCAGACTTTGCATTTTCAGCATCCTTTTCCTTCTGAGCTATTGGTTAAAAAATTAATTAGCTTTATACATATATAAAAGAAAAAAGAAAATAAGGCATAAAAGTCTATTATAAAATAGTTTACTGTTTTAGTTTGGAGCTACCTGAAAACAAATAATGAAACAAAGGAAGCTCAAGAAAATGATTGACAGAAGTTTACATACAAAATTTATATACAAAAGAAGTTTACATAGAAATTTACAGATTGACAGAAGACTTAAAAAAATGTAAATTGTATGAGTGGGGAAAACATGAAGATGAAGATGAATGAACATAAAGATTGGAAAGAGTTCCAAAGCATTGATATGCAAGGAAAGAGAAAGAAAAACCAAAAGTTTAATAAAGGTTTTTAGAGCATGAAGGGACAGATTAACAGTTAAAGAATGCAACTTTGCTGAATGACAAGTCAAGGGAGAAAGAGTTTAGCTTGATGAAACTAGAGCTGTTTGAGATGATGGGAGACTTGAGCAGCAATTATGGTAGTATTTGTGAAAAGGGAAAAAAATGCAACCTTACAACAATGTGACAGTGACTTAAGCATGCCATTAAATAGTTTATAGAGAATTGATAGTTCTGAAGAACACTTTTGCAAGACTATGACAGGAATGATGTCTTTACCACAAGTTGTAGAAAAGTTCAATTAAAAAATGACTTAAGCAACATAAGGCAATGTGATTTAGATGCCCAACAATGGTTGAATCTGTTAAACTGGAATAGCAGGTAGAGTGTGACCATTCAATTCAATGAATTAGAAGAAAAGTCTTTTACAAATAGTTGCAAAATTGTCTACAAATTATTGAGAGAAGTAATAAGATCAGCCCCATGTTTTAACATAGGAATGTCAGACTTAGCTTTGTTAATGATACTGTTGAAAATTTTCTAAGAAGTTCTAGAACCTAACTTCTGAGATAAAATATGAGATTTAGCAAACTGAGAATATTAAAGCTTAGCATTAGACCTTTTTACATTGCTTTTTGCAATGCAATTTAAATCACATTTTTACATTAATTTCTTGCAATAACAAAAAGATGATTTGTTGACAAGAAAGTAGTTTTTGCACAAAAGATGAAAATTATTGACCATTAGTTTTTCAGACCATTAAAAATAGCAGTTGCACAAGAAGGTGAAAACATAAAATAAAAAAAGGCCTGAACCCAACAAGAAAGACTAAATGTTACAATAAAAAAAATGGTTTAAAAAAATTATATTATCAAATAATTACAGTCAGGTCAGATAGTTAAATTAATTGTCATCAGGTAGCATAAAAAAAGAACAAAAATTATTAACAATACTCTTCAATTCTTTTAAATATGAAAGAATTCATATATATATATATATATATATATATATATATATATATAATATATATATATATATATATATATATATATATATATATATATATATATATATATATATATATATTTATATATATATATATATATATATATATTTATATATATATATATATATATATATATATATATATATATATATATATATATATATATATATATATATATATATATATATATATATATATATATATATATATATATATATATATATATATATATAATATTTTTTACTGTTTTATAAGTTAAAAAAAACAAACGTAATAAATCTTAAACCTAATATATATTTATTAATAGTTTTGTACCATTAAAAATATTTTAAAATTAGGTTCCCACTTGATTATTTATATATATATATATATATTATATATATATATACAAAAATTTTGTAAGATTATCTGTGCATCTGCTGCTTCATTGATTTCTTTTTTACTTCATTCTTTTATATTTCTTCTGATTCCTGAAGTTTTTCCTTACATTTCTCATCTTCTTGCACAGCTATTTTATCTTATTTTCAGGGAATATTAGGTATTCAGAGCTTGCTTTTGTAGCTGCATTAATAAGATCTTTTGTTATAGGAAAATCAAGAATGTTAACTCCCACCTTTACTATTCTTAATGCAATAATGGTAGAGATAGATCTATCTGTAGCTAGCAAGCATCATTGTCCAAAAAGTCTCGCTCGGGTTGGGTATTAGTATGTGACAATGTGAGAGCTGACTTAATAATAATAAATAGAATAATATATTTCTGATTACCCAGGATATCTTTAATACCTGAGTCATAATCTCAATAAGAACCAACGTCAACATCTCAAGATGATGATGAAAAAGTCATTTTGATCTGTTCCTAGGAAACAGATCAAAATGAGTTTTGGATCTGTTTCCTAGGAACTTCCTACATTTCTCTGGTACAATATAAAATTTATTTTTCATTCATTTAAAATTTTCTGGTACAATGTAAAGATAATTTTTAATCTAACCTAGCATTTCTAACAAAATACAGACCAGAAAAAAAATTAGTTATTTAATTTCTTACACATAGTACATATGATAAAAACTATATAATCACAGCTAAGAAAAACAGGCCAGGATCGCTTACCTGCCTGCATTCTTAATGAATGTACCTAGTCCAGGCATATTTGAAAATGTTTCACAATATCAAAAAGCATTTCACAAATTGAAGAGATGTGGCAAAATTGAAAGAAATAAAAGTGTTTCCAAATAATCAAGTAGGAATCTAATTTTAAAATATTTTTAATGGTACAAAACTATTAATAAATATATATTATGTTTAAGATTTATTACGTTTGCTTTTTTTAACTTATAAAATAGTAAAAAATATTATCTGAATTGTAAAAGAACATCGCATTTCATTCTAATTTAACAAAAGGTAAAGAGGAAATCGGAATGTTATGTTATCATATGTCTTTAACTTTTTATGATAATAATATAGTATCAAATAGAAAATAACTAGCAAAAAGGTTCCACTAAAATTCAAAAAAAGTTCTACGTTTTTAAAAAGTTAAACATATGCAATTTGTTGTCATCAGTATGAAGAAACTCTTGGAAATTTTATTTTTTGATTTTTTATATTTGAAGTTTTATATTTGAAGTTGTTTTTTTTAAATAAAAAATCATAAAAAATTTTAATAATTTCAATAAATTAAATTGAATAGAATAAATTAACTTGAGTAGAATAAATTAACTTGAATAGAATAAATTAACTTAAGTACAAAAAATTTAATTGAGCAGCTTTTTTTTTTTGTTAAACAATTTGTTTGATCGAGTATTATTTAAGATGTCTGAAAAGTCATACCAATAACTTTTCTGATGATATCAGCACAAAGAAGGCCTTCAGGTGCATAACTCTCAGTTGCAAGATCAAGTGCCCTTTTTCCCATGCTGTTCTTTAAATCGAAATTTACATTATACTCAACTAATGCTTTTACACAGTCAACTTTTCCATAGGCAACAGCATGATGAAGTGGTGTCTATCAAACATAAAAATTAAACTTACTAATACACTAACCATATTTATACAAATTTATACACACATATACAGATATACACATACAAATATATACATATATATATATATACATATATATATACATATATATATATATATATTTATATATATATATATATATATATAATATATATATATATATATATATATATATATATATATATATATATATATATATATATATATATATATATATATATGTATATATATATATATGTATATATATATATCTGTATATATATATATATATATATATATATATGTATACATATATATATATATATATATATATATATATATATATATATATATATATATATATATATATATATATATATATATATATATATATATATATATATATATATATATATATATATATGCAGATGTATACATACAAATATATACATTTAAGTTATATACATGTAAAAGTACAGGTTTAAGCTTATACAGATAAATATACAGAAAAATTTAGGTTTAGGCTTTTTAGCCAAAAAAATATATTAATAAATAATATATTATTTTTAGCCAAAAAAATATAAAAAATATAATATAAGTATTATGTTTTATTTATTTATAAGATCATTTTTGAGTAAAATTTGGAGGAAGTCAGTTTCAAAAAAAAAAAATGATCTGAAAAAACACAAAAAAATATTACAGTGAGCAGATTCGTCACTTAAAAGTTGAAAAAAAAGCTTTGAAGTTAAATGAAAAGCATAAGTTAGGGCAACTCAAAAATAAGCATAGGGCTGATGTTTTGACAAATAACAGGGTAATTGCTGGTTTAAAGAAAGATTTACTCTAGTTTGAGGAGGAAAGAAATGTAATTACGTCAGAAGATGAAAAAACATGTTTATTACAAATAAGAATGATAGTTTATAATATATTGTTGTAATGTACCAACATGTAGCATTCCATTGTTGTAATGTACCAACATATAGCATTCCATTGTTGTAATGTACCAACATGTAGCATTCCATTGTTGTAATGTACCAACATGTAGCATTCCATTGTTTTAATGTACCAACATGTTGCATTCCATATCTTATGAGCAAAATAGGGCATTATATGGGTGTTATTTTTAATATTATTCCTTTGATAAAGTACTGTTGACAGATGTCAGACAGAGTTGCAGTCAACCATCTTACTATAAGCAAACATTTGTGCAACTTTAAATAATGTCGACCTAAAAAATTATTTAATTTTAATTTTTAAAAAATTTTCAAAAAAGAAGTTATTTTTATTTTTTGTTGGTATTCTTACTAGAATATAATATGTATACACTAGAATACATACACAATATAAACAACAATACAAGTGTGTTCTTTCTGTCTTCTTTATTAAAGTAGCTATTTATTTGAAGCTATTATTGATTGCTTAAGTGTTTTTGTTATGAAAAATTAGTAAAATATTTTGAATTTAGATTTAAATAAAATAAAAAGTAAATAAAATAAAGTTACTTGTCAGCTATCATTATCATGTAAGTTTTATTTTTTCATTTTATGTGACATATATATGATATTTTTTTTGGTTATTTACAAAAAACCAATTATTTAGATTATTTGATTATTGAGGAGTTAGTTAATTTAGTCTTTTTTCTATTAATTGCTTTGTTATCTGATTTGTTAATGTTTTATTATCTGATTTGATTTAACTCATTATCTTAATTTATTTGTTAACTTGGTTTAAATTTAATTAGTTAAAAAATTTAATTTAGATCTTTTTAAGACTTATACTATGATTCGGACAAAGAGTTTTTAGAAGGTAAATTTTAACTTTATTTATGGTTTAATGATGTTCTATTTTATTGATATACGTATATAAGTATTTATATAGACATAATAAAATATTCATTAGTATATCTATACATTTTATCTACATTTTGTAGACGCCCTTCAAGCGCCCTTCATGCAGCCTTTGTATATAAATATTGCCCTTTGTCAGACCTTTCTTTTGATACCAAGTTGTATGTATTTCAATAAGAATTGACCAAATTATGACATTTTAAATTACAAAAAACTTAAAATTTGATCGCAGTTTTTTCAAGAATTCCATATATCAAAAATTTGATACTTAAAATGTCATAACTTTTTGTAGAATTATTCAATTTTGATGGTTTTGTCACCTTAAAATACTGAATTAAAGACCTTTTCAATAATATATCACAATCTAGTGTTTGATCAATTTTAAAATTTCATGTTACGTACCTAAGATCAAGTCAATAGCTACATTAGGTATTTTTGTAGCAAACTATATTTTTACAAAAATTATCTTGATACATATTCAAGCTATGTAGCTTTAAATAACTAAATAGTTGACATAGTTGTTAACAAACAAGGTCAAAAAGGTTTGTAAGCACAAATAGAAACTGTAAGCACAAATAGAAATCTGACACAAATGAGGTAAGATGGAAATAGATGGATGACAATTGTCATGGATGATTTATATACCTATTGCATTATTGATTTGCAATTTACATGAAAATTGCAATGTTACATTTTACATGAAAATTTTACATTGCAATGTTATATTTTACATAAAAATATCAATTAGTAATTAGGAAATGTTATTTTTGTGCTGCTAAAAACTTTTTTGTTCTGTTATATTTAAGTCCTAATTTCTTTTTTGAGCAAAGAAATCAAGTAAACATTTTGATAACCACAAACCTTACAAACATTTAAATATAAGTTATGTAAAATATATCTAATACTTAAGAATAAAACATTTTCAGATAAAATTAAAAAATTAATAATTAGAAATCATTTAGCAAGCACATCTATGTTTATTTAGACAATTATAATTTTATGTAAAATTTAACATATGGAAACTACAGCAACCATTAGTTAAAAAAAAAATTATAAAATACAGCAAAAATGTAAAATTTAACATATGGAAACTATAGCAACCATTAGTTATAAGTTTTCAATTATAATAAGTATATAATAATTTATAAAGAATATAACAATAATATTAAGTATATAATAATAATATTTAGTAGCAGCAGTCCAGACCCATTAAAGTAAGACTATTCTACACGATTTCTATACTTATTCATTACTTCAATATTTTTTAGTAAGTGGTAGAAAAACTATAAATATTTATATATACTATATATATATATATATATATATATATATATATATATATATATATATATATATATATATATATATATATATATATATATATATATATATATATATATATATATATATATAATATATATATATATATATATATATATATATATATATATATATATATTATATATATATATATATATATATATATATATATATATATATATATACATTACTTATAACTATACATAAGTATACATATTTATAACATGCATAGTTTTATAACTTTATAAAAATAAAAATATCTATAGAACTTTAAAAAATTTATTTTGTATTTTAAAAAATGGACAAGGATTTAAAAAAAAAAAGGTAGCGCAAGGATTTGAACCACAGCATTTCACTTCAGAATGCTGCAATCACTTCAACCACTAAGGTGTATTGTTTGATGAATGTTTTAAAATTCATAAACAAAATCAACCTAAGATTTAAATGCATTAACCTAAAATTAAAATCATCTCATTGCAGAATTTAACCTGAAAACTGTAAATAGTTCTGAAAATATACAAAATAAATAAGTTTATATGTGAACAACAAAAGTAATCGTCCTTTGAAAAGTGTTCATTAATTATTTATCTAAAGCAGACCAGCTAACTGCTTTAAAATATTTTTCTGTTTAAATTATTTGTTTTCTTTCCTATATGAATAAAAATGGAAGTTTATTTCAAATTAAGGTTGCGTTCGAGTTAAATTAATTTGTTTCTTAAATTAGTTTATATAGTGATGCAGAAACAAAGATTGAGTTTGCTTGAAATTAATTTTTTTTTTCCAATTTTTAAAGGTTTTCAATGCCTATTAATAAACTAGATTTAAAATTTGAAGAACATTCTCATAAAGTAGTATAATGACATTCTCATAGTGGTATGATGTATTCTTTGTAAATTAAAAATAACATGATTAAAAACAAAATTTCTTTAATGTGGTATGATGTATCGTTTGTAATAACATATTTAAGGAAGAGCCTACATAAGAATATTTTTTCGGGCAATTGATAATAATACTTCAATAAGAAAATTTATTATTTTTTATAAAAATGATATAAAAACTGAAAATTTTTGCACAAGATTTTGACAAAATACCATATATGATTTAAAAACTATAATATAAGACATTCATATGTTCTATTGCTTACTTTGGTCCCACAAGCTTTTTTTTTTTTTAAATATGTCATTAAATTCCCATCTTAAGAGTATAGTAGGTAGGTTATGGTATTTCAACATTTTGAAGAAAGAAAGTAGAACAAGTTAAAGTTAAACAAGAATGCTTTTTTAAATTACATAAAGAAACAATTCATTATAAAAATAAGTCCAATAAGTCTAAAAACCAAAGAAAATTGCAAGTTCTTTCAATCTTCTGATATGAATGAGTAAGAAACCAGGTCTTATAGTATTTTAGCAATGTGTTATTGGTATGTAGGCAATGTGCTATTGCAATTGGTCATAGGTATGTATACAGTGTGTTATTACAATATATAATTATTATGAATAAAAGAAAGATCTTAAATATAAAAATACTTTTAAGCATTGTTAGTTGCTTGCATTAATGAATGCAGTAAAAAAATCTTAAAACTATATAAAGTAAAATGTCTGGTCTGCAAAATGGAATGGACTGCAGAATGCCTTTCATGGCATCTACCAGTCTTTCAGTGTTAGTTGGAACTTGTTAAAATATTTTCTGCAATCAAGAACAATACTGACTATAAATTAATATATTTCTGAAGATTAAATTTTTAACAATTTAAGATGAACAATTTAAGATGAACTACCAGAATTCCTTGAGTCATTGTTAAATTTTCCCAATATTAACATATATTTAGTAAAAAGTTACATTATGACTGGTGAAACTTCGCCAACAAAAAAACGAAACAAACAAACATCAGCATACACAAAAAATAAAGAAATGCTTAAAATATTTTATTGGAGAAAAAAAAAAAGGAAGGGGTTAATTTTATTTAAATTCCATTTAAAGTTTAAAAAACATTTGGCAAAATACACTGATTTCCCTAAGAAAACTAACCAATGAAAGCAACAATTAGCAGACAAAATCCCTACTTTATCAACATCAGGATGCAAAGACTAGACTAAAGTACCAATCTTGTAATGCTAAAAATCTCAAGCCCACAAACTCAATAAAAAATTGTCAATCTTGCTGTTTTACTTAGGTCTACAATATAGGTAAGTATTGCCAATAAACATAAAAAGAAAAAAAAAAAAGAAAAAAAAAACACAACTTTTAATTGTATTAACATATTTTGTATCATGATTTTACTAAAAAATAATATTAAATAATAAAATGTCATTACTAATAATTTTAAATTGGTGATATTGCATCAATTTAACATAATAATTGGAATGTGTTATCAAAATGTATACAATGTGTTATTGGAATGTGTTATTGGAATTTATACAGCATGTTACTGCAATGTGTTATTGGTATGCAGGCAATGTGTTATTGCAATTGGTCATAGGTATGTATACAGTGTGTTATTGCAATGTATGATTATTATGAATAAAAGAAAGATCTTTAATATAAAAATACTTTTAAGCACTGTTAGTTGTTTGCATTAATGAATGCAGTAAATAAATCTTAGAGCTATTGAAACTTTAGATTTTTATTTCAGATAATATTTAGAAGAAATCAACAAAAAATTTCAAAAAATCGTAAAAATTTATCAAAAAAAAATTTATCATTTAGTGAAACTTTGTTAAATAAAAATAATAACAAATTATTTTGAAGTATATAATAAAAAGAGAAAGTAAAAAAATAAAAAATTAGAAGGATTTAGAAGTTAAGAAACACAAATAACACACAAAAACAATGTACAAACACTCTATTGAAATGTAATACTTCCTTAAATATTATTATAAAAATCATAAAAACTGTCAACAAAGTTTGTTATATTGAACTCAAATTAAGAATAAAACTCAACAGTTAAAAAAATTTGAAATAAAAATAATGATAACAAAAAAAAAACAGATTTGCACTTAAAATTATGCATTTAACAGATTTACACTTGAATTTATGTATTTATTTATAACAGCTATTCATGGTTGACTTTGTTTATTCTAAAAAACATACCGAACAACGATCCTCAATACCAGAACTTGCATTTGGATCAGCTGTAAATAAAATAAAAACAAGTTAGAAAATTAAAACAAAAAATTATCAGTTAACCTAAAATAGTTTTAAAAAATGAATAGTTCACATACATACATACATACATACATACATACATACATACATACATACATACATACATACATACATACATACATACATACATACATACATACATACATACATACAAGAAAAAACACTGCTAATTTTAAATGATTTTGATTTAAATTATAAAAAAAAAACCCTGAAACTAAAAAAGTTTTTTAAAATTGCTTAACTTTAAAAAATGAAAAATTATTAATTGCCTATTTTTTTGAAATGTAGTGTCGATCCATGCCTTTTTCTATGGTTTGAGATATCAAATTGAATGTGATTTCACATATTTTGTTACATCATTTTAAATGGATTCATACTGTTTTATGTTAACACTTTCTTAGAACAGAATAGGAATTATAGGGAAGTTTTCAGTTTGATCTAACACAGATTTTTTAGAACAATATACAAATGACTCAAAAAAATGTGATTGTAACTAAAATGTACTTAAATTTGACAGAAACTTTATAACTTTTGACTTATAATAGTATTGATTATCTTGAAGCATCAAATGATCTTTTTTATAGTAAGTTTCATCATCTTAAAAAATGCCTAAATTTTTTTCATAATTAAGTAAAAAAAATTTAAACTTGTCTAATTGCGGTAGTGGTGTAGTGGTAGAGCGCTCGCTTCATAAACGAGTGGTTCCGAGTTCGATCCCCACCACGTCCCTGATAGTATCGCGCTCAACTCGTTTCTCCACGCAGCGGCCTTGTTCGTCAAGGTTCGTGTTTCGGAGTTATAGAGTTGAGAGAGGGTTATAACCACAAATAAGTAGCCTCCTCGTCTGTAGTGGCCTTCTTGGCCTTGAGGAAGTGAATTAAAATAAAAATAAAAAATTGCTTTGATTTCTCTGTTAAATTGTTTTAGATTTTTGCAGATTTTTTAAGAAAAACTTTTTTCTTAACAGCAGGGTAAAGTTTTTTTGTTTTTTTTTATCAAAGTTTAATTTTTGTGAATATAAGGAATTATTTTAAAAACTAGACTTAAAATTGCTACAAATCATGTAGCAATTTTTAAATTGTTTTTATTTGTTTTGATTTTATTCCATCTTTACTTTTTGATGTAAGTATCTTCTTCATCTTCAGGAGTATCTGTCAAGTATTAAATTAGTTCATCGGGATCTTGCCGCAAGAAATAACTTAGTTGGTGCTACTAAAAATGTAAAAATATTAGATTTTAATTTGACTCATAAAGTTAATGAAAAATTAATTTATGAAAGTTTCAAAAATCGTTGTTTAGCAATCAAGTGGATGGCAATGGAAGCATTAGTTAATCATAATTTTACGTCATGCAGTGATATGTAAACTTTTTACTATTGATTTTTAATATTAAATTTAAGAAAAAAGTACCTTTTAGGTACTTTTTTCTTTTAACATGCTTTCAGATTTTTCTTTTTGAACACTCTTTGAACAAAAGATCTATTGCATGTAAACTTTGTAGCTAAATCTTATTGTGACTGAGTCAGATTTTGATGATTTAAGGCAACTATTAACTTTGCATTCTTTTTGGAAATAAATCTTGATTTTCCACAACTTCCAATTTTCTTTTTACAGTTTTGCTTTCTTTATAACATTTTATAACAATTCCAACAGTTGATTTTGAAGTTTGCATGCTTTTGAAATCATGGAATATGAAAATGATGGATTTTCTATGAAAAATTAAAAAAAAAAAACTTGACATTGAAAAAACTTGTGTGAAGTAAACCCACTTACAGAAAAACTAATCGTGTAAGCATCATTATAAAAATAATTAATTCCAATTGATTAAGTGGTTTTTGAAAAAACTTAAAATCGTCCAGATTTTAACCGATCGTGGTGATATATTTATTTATATATATATATATATATATATATATATATATATATATATATATATATATATATATATATATATATATATATATATATATATATATATATATATATATATATATATTTATATTTATATTTATATTTATATTTATACATATATATATATATATATATATATATATATTTATATTTATATTTTATTTATATTATATTTATATATATATATATATATATATATATATATATATTTATATTTATATTTATATTTATATTAAATTTATATATATATATATATATATAATATATATATATATATATATATATATATATATATATATATATATAAAACCACATCTATCAACCAATTTGTCCGACATATATTTTATGTGCATTTAATTTCTATTTTAATTGTTCCAAAATTATTAATAAAATACAACCACCAATGAGAAACCCTTTGCTTTAGAGTGTTATATGTGTAATTTTTTTAGAAATGTACAAAGATCTGGGCTAAACTTAAAATCAATGTAGATATCATCCAGCAACTTTTCAACTACTTTGCCGAAAAAAGAAGTCCATTTTTTGACAACATTGTGCACATGATGACAAATATCACCATCAATATCAAGTAAGTGAGGAACCAGCTTATCTTAATCTTGTTTCAAAAGGATGGTATTTCACAGCATAGTTTTGCAAAATAATTCCATGTATTACAACCGTACATATGCAAAATTATTCACAAAAAAACTAGTATTTGTTTTCTTTAAAAAACTAAAACACCTAAAAGAACACTGACTAAAAAGCAGCTGTTCATTCAAAGTGCCGTAGATTGGTTTTGATTTTTAGGAAAAAAGTAGTTATTACTGACGATGAATCATATTTTTT